GGGTGTGGCGGGGGCCCAGCGCCCCCCCCCCCCGCACATCCCACGGACGCAGAGCTACCCCACCTGGGAGACGGGCTTGGTGCCGACAATCTGATGGAGGGACACCTCTGCAGCCCAGGGAGCGCGCAGGGAGGAGTAACAGGCACCTGGCAGACCAAATGGAAAACCCATCCCTGCTTCAGGTTGCCTGGGTGGCTCTGGCCAGTGTGAAGCCGCTAGGCCGTCTTCTGCTCCCATGCCAGGGGGCTGGGCTCTGGGAGACAGACACCCCCACGGGCCTCTGTTCATTGACAGCTCCTGTTCGCTCATTACGTTTTATTCCTGCCGTTGAGGTTAAACTGGCCTGTGCTTTAAAAGCCTGTTCAGGGTGAGCTGACTGGGTGGGAACAGTATACTCCTCCGAGCCCAGCCCCAAAGGCAGGAACGGCAGGCGCTGAGCCCAGGCAGACCTGCAGGGGACACCCAGTAGTCCAGGGCTGGTCTAACACTGGGTGAATTCTGCCCTAGAAGCGGTAAAGGCACAAGGGCTGCTGTCCCAGGGTGTGTCTAGACTACATGCCTCTGGCGATAGAGGCACAAGTTATAAGATCAAGAACACATATTCCTGCGCATCCAGAAATATAATCTACGCTATCATGTGCCGAAAGTGTCCGTCTGCTATGTACATTGGACAAACATCTCAGACACTTCGCCAAAGGATTAATGCCCACAAAACAGATATCAGACAAGATCACAAAGAGAAAACAGTTTCTTGCCACTTTAACCAGAAAGGACACTCTCTAAATGACTTAGCCACCTGCATTCTGCTACAAAGACCTTTTACATCTGCACTTGAAAGGGAATCCTCTGAACTGTCATTCATGTTAAAATTCGACACTTACCACCAGGGACTTAACAAGTCTTTGAACTTTCTCACCCATTATCAAGACAGTTTCCCCAATTATCACCTGTAATACCATTAACTCACAAACATCCCACTCTCCCTACCTCTAATATCATCAATTCACAGACACTTACCTTCCTTCCTCCCCCTTCCCACCCCCCCGCCTCCTCCTTCTGTTCTGCAATGTGATTTGTCCTTTTCATATTTGTTCTTTTTTTTAATTGTATCCTTTGGTATATATGGTTGTGACTACTTTCTTCCACTATTTGATCTGAGGAAGTGGGTCTGGCCCACGAAAGCTCATCATCTAATAAACCATCTTGTTAGTCTTTAAAGTGCTACATTGTCCTGCATTTTGCTTCAACTACCCCAGACTAACACGGCTACATTTCTATCACTCTTCCAGTTCTATGATTCTATGATTTTATTAAACAAATCGACATGCCTCTGTCACCAGAGGCTTGTAGTCTAGACACACCCCCAGAGAGGGGCAGAGGTGCCACCAATCCTGTAACCAGGACACTGCTGAGGTTCTGGTGTGGCTGGAGCCTGCCGCAGCTACAAGCGGCTACACTGCAGGTGTATGGCACAGAGAAGCACGGACTAGAAGGGGACTGGACTGGAGAAGCTGCTGAGCTAGATGGATCTGACCTGACAGAGCAATTTCTGTTCCTCTGCATTCTCCTCCGTGAGGTCTGAGGGGCACCGGCGAATTGTCTCTAGTACCTGCCTGCTGGGCTGTCCCTATGATACAAGCATGCAGCCTACACCATAGGCAAGCCGCAATCCCGATACAGCAGGAAAGAGTCAGACTTACGCTGAAAACAAAGCATTCCCCTGTTCCAAAGAAGCTGGACGCTGCCCCGCTCTTCTTCCTTTCATTCCAGTCAGACGAGAGGAAGGCACCACACACCTTGCAGGAGAGAGGCAGAACCATTTGGAGTCAAGGGCTCTACAGCAGGAAATGCATTGCAAGGGGCAAAGAGCAGGCTGGCAAACGTCGATTTATCCCCACACTCCTTTGGACCCCAGGTGGGAATTTCGAGAGCAGCGTATTAGAAATGAGACCCCCCCCCATCCTCCGTGTGGCTCTGAGGGCAGAATTCCCCCCCAAAAGTGAAGTTCTGCCCCAAAATGAAACGAAGTAGAAAAGGCCCCTTCTCACTCTGCTGATCTGCCCCATATGTGGATCTAGGGCTACTACTTTAGTTAAGTGACTAATGCAGGTTTTCAATTTTCTTAGCCCTGCAGCTATAGGAGAGCAGGCTGCGATCTCCTGTTGCTTCCTCAGCAGGATGCCTCACACAAGTTCCAGTCAGTCCTGTCTGCAGAAGGCTATCGGACAGCCCAGTTATTTCAGAGTCGCTGTCCTGATTCCCTAATAAGTGTGAACACAAGAATGGCCATTCTGGGTCAGACCAAAGGTCTGTCTAGCCCAGTGTCCTGTCTTCCCCAACAGTGGCCAAAGCCAGGTGCCCCAGAGGGCCTGACAGACCAGGGAATCATTAAGTGATCCATCCCTGTTGCCCATTCCCAACTTCTGACAAAGAGGCATGGGACATCATCCCGGCCCATCCTGGCTCGTAGCCATTGATGGACCTCTCCTCCATGAACTTATTTAGTTCTTTTTTTAACCCAGTTACTGTCTTGGCCTTTGCAGAATCCTCTGGCAAGGAGTTCCACAGGCTGACTGTGTGTTGTGTGACTACTTCCTTTTGTTTGTTAGAAACCTGCTGCTTATTAATTTCATTTGGTGACCCCTAGTCCTTGTGTTATGAGAAGGAGCAAATAGCATTTTCTTCAGACCAGTCAATATTTTATAGACCTCTGTCATATCTCCACTTAGCTGTCTCTTCCAAACTCAAAAGTCCATTCTTATTAATCTCTCCTCATATGGAAGCTGTTCTATACCCCTAATTATTTTTGTTGCCTTTGTCTGAACCTTTTCCAATTCCATCGTAACTTTTTTTAGATGAGGCAACCACATCTGCATGCAGTATTCAAGATGTGGACCTCCCATTGATGTATATAAAAGCAATAGAATATTTTCTGTCTTAATCTCTATCCCTTTCTTTATGGGTCCCAACATTCTGTTTGCTTTTTTTGGCTGTCACTGCACATTGAATGGATGTTTTCAGAGAACTATCCAAGATCTCTCTCTGGTCCGCAGATGAAGCTGTTCAGGAACAGCTGTGACACTTTTCATTCAGACTAAGGTAGGATGTGAATTTACTTTCAAGTGGTGACAAGCCCTTGCATGTTTTTGAATATCTAGTATGGACCGGATTCAAAACCTTCGGAAACACCTTTAAAACATTTGAACTGGTGGTTGTCAACTCTAGGGCCACACCAAGCCTAGAGCTGGTACCCTTGAGTGGGCCATGACCAGCTGCTACATTTTACAGGTGTTAAGCCCTGTGCTCAATCGGATGCTAATTGATGTGTAGAAATGGGATAGCTAATCTATTTGCCTAATCCGGACGAGGGCCTGGGCTGGGGAGTAGCGTGTTTGTCCCCTTGCCAGGATCTGGGAAAGCTGTGCCAGAAAGCAACGACGTTTTCGTGATGCCTGAGGTTTATGGCACAGGCCGATTACCATTTGACTAAGGGTTCAGAGGCAGAGCATGGAATATGAGCTGTTCCTGGGGTCCTTGGAAGGACCCTGGCTTTTTACTTTGGGGGTTATTTTGCCTACTTGAAATGTGAAGGCGAATGCCTCTGGTTTTCCTCCCCTCTGTGTTGCTATTATGGAAATCCACTCCTGAGGCCTGTACTGCAGGCCTTGCTTAGGCAAATCTTCTGTGACTTCATTTGCATGAGTAGGGACTTCAGGGTTTGACCCATATTTGCAGGAAGTGATTTCCACCTTTAATATTTTATCCAGCTATTCGTCTCCTCCAATCAGTGGCGCCCTGAGACCTCAACCAGTGTCAGGGAAGACGTGCTTCATTGGGGAATTCCCCTGATGCCAAATCAGCAGTCTTTACGGAGCTGGTGTAAAGATGCTGCAGCACAGGGATGAACTGGGCCCCAGCGGAGGAAGAGTGATATTCGTGGGGTCTCCGTAGGCCCCCTTGCTTCTGGATGCCCTGGCAGCAGCTGTGCCAAGAGTGGTGCTGCCTTTTGATTTAGGCTGCTATAATCCAGGCCTGTCACCTGACGAGTAAATTCAGGGCTTCAATGTAAGCCCATTTGGGAGCTGTATGCTGCCCCTTTCTCCCTGGCCCCACCAGCAGCTGGGACACACTCACAGCCCTCTTCAGTGGTTGGGAAATACTTACTTCCCCCTGAGCAGTTTTTATGAGCAGGACTGTCGGTTCGTAGCCTTCACAGCACGAGTAAAACCTGCAGGGACAGAGAGAGTGGATCCGTTTCCATCGCGGCGTGTTTTCCTGTCGGAGTTACTGACGAGACGCACATAACGCAAGGGGACGCGAAGTGAGGTGCGTGCTGTTTGCGCACAGCATTGACCGGAGGAGCCGGGCGCTCCCTCTGCATGCCAAGTGTGGCTGTGGTTCAATGGGCACTGTCATGATTATGAGGGTTAGCCAGCAGCCTGGGGATTAAGGAGTTAACTACACCTAGCCAGGTGGAGTGACCAGTAGGAATGTAGGTGGGACTTTCAAACTGGGACAAAGGAATTTGGGTTTTTTCCTTTTCTCCTTTTCTCTCTCGGAGTGAGTCCTCTGCAGCTACAGGGAGGGACAAGCATGTCTCTCTCCAAGAAACAATACGTCACTTTCTGTAAGTAGGGTAACATTTAGGTTGTTTCGTTAGGCTTTATTGTTTAAGGGTTGGGTATGGGATCTGAGATCGGGCACTGTTTAAAAGATGTTTTGGCTTTTCTTTGTAACTAAGTTCTAGGCCCATGGGCTGTGTCTACACTGGCATGAATTTCCGGAACTGCTTAAAACGGAATACTATTCCGTTTTCAGTTTTTCCAGAAAAGGAGCGTCTACATTGGCAGGCTGCTTTTCCGGAAAAGCCCTTTTCCCGGAAAAGCGTCCGTGGCCAATGTAGATGCACTTTTCCGGAAAAGAGCCCCGATTGCCATTTTCGCAATCGGGGCTTTTTTCCGGAAAAGACTACTGGGCTGTCTACACTGGCCCTTTTCCGGAACAGTGTTCCGGAATAAGGACTTATGCCCGAGCGGGAGCAGAATAGTTTTTCCGGAAAAGCGGCTGACTTTCCGGAATAAGTGGCCCAGTGTAGACACAGCCTAGAGGTCATGTCACAGATTATTACCTGGGGGCTGACTGCTGAAAGGGATGAGCAATATAAGCTGAAGGCTATAAGATTTGGCCTCAGTTGGAGTTTCTAGGCCCATGGGGTTTCTCCATGAGTATATCTAGTCATTATGCCTGCAACAGGAATATTGTTGTAATAATAAAAGTTCTTTCTTTTCTTTTTATTAACCTGGCAGTGGTTAATTGTGTGCCCTGATTTTTATTTTAGGGGTGAGATTTCCCAAATGATCTTTCCCCTGATTTCTTTATCAACATTTGGGTGGTGGCAGCGGAAGTTTTATTCCCAAGATCTAGGGTTTTAAGATTTTGGGGGAAGTTTTATACCAAAGCCTGGTAGATAAGGCTTTGGGGTACACTTGTTGGCCCCCACTTCTGCATTTATCATGCCAGTGGGGAAGGAGCCATGACAGGCACAGCCCGCAAGTGCGGCTAGCAACACTCGCCCAGCGCAGGAGGCTGCTTGGTTACAACAATCTTGCAGCCCCCTGAGACAACGGAGGGACACCCATGCGGCCCACTCACCAGCCGACTGCTTTGGACTGACCTTGGACCATGTTACCATGTCCCCTCCAAGCCAGGTTCTGGCCTTGACCTACAGCTGGGGTCCTGACACAGTGTCTGCTTCCTTCGCATGCCCGCTGTGCTGGGGTGAGCGAGGCCCTGCACTGCGCCTGCATCCACGGACGTCTTCTGCGGCCCCTTTGCATGTTATTTGCAGCCTCTGCGGTGCCTGGAGTGGGAGCCAGAACCTGCCCATTGCCATCAGTCAAGGGCTGATTGAGGAGCACAGTCTCGGCTCCATGTCCGCATGCTGATGCAGAGAGCCTCCCCTCCTTTGATCTGGCTGATTGGCCCGAACGCTAACGGAGCAGGAAGCACCCGCAGGACATGCTAATGCCATTGGAGCAGAGCATCAGTACTGGAAAGGGAGGGAGCTCAAACCTGGGCCTGGCTCTGAGTTTACAGCCATTCTGCTCCGGTGTAATCCCAATTGATTCAGTCACAGCCGGCTCACCCCACTGGAAGTGTGATCAGAATAAAAGGCTGGATCCTGCTGAGACCAAACTGTCCCCGGCCAGAGGGCCACAATCTGCTTTTGGTCTGAACTGTGACATCGGCATAAATGAATAGGTTCCGCATGGCCCTGTGTATACCTCTCTCTAAGGCTACGTCTACGCTACGAGTTTTGTCGGCAAAAAATATGCTAATGATGGACTCATTTGCATGAGTCGCAATCTCGTTTGCATATTTTCTGCCGATCCGTTTTTGCGCTAGGAGTTTTTGTGCAAAAATAAGCAGTGTGGATGTTTTCTTTTTGCGCAAAACCCCCTTTTTCCGCAAGCTCCTTATGCCCCCCAAAAGGAGGTGTACTGGTCTTATGGAAAAAGGGATTTTTGCACAAAAAGAAAACGTCCACACTACTTGTTTTTGCGCAAAAACCCCTAGTGCAAAAACGGATCTGCAGAAAACATGCAGATGAGATCACGACTCATGCAAATGAGTCCCTTGTTAGCTTAGTGCAGACTTAGCCTCAGTGGAAAGGGTCAGGGGCGCTTTCATTCCTTATGCACATGCGATGCCTAGGGAGGTGCTGGACTCACAGCCCCAGATACACCCCGTTAACATGCCTCAGCCTTGACCAGGACAGAGGGCCCGTCTCGAGAGAGAGAGAAACAAGGTCAGATGGTGGCAAGTCCCATCCTTGGCCTCTCCTCAGCAAGGCTGACAGTGGTGGTGGGTTTGTGCTGGGACACATGCCCTCAGAGGATTGGGCTGAGACCCACCAAATGTATTGCACGTCAGGTAAAACAGCCATTGAAGGGAATAGGGGAGTGGATTTAGACAGGAGTGACGCTACAGGTACCTTTGTCAAGCTGGCCGTGCCACGTGCCTCAGGGACATTCGTCCAACAGGCCACCTGGCTTAGGAAGCTGCTCAGCTGTTAGTTCCTTTCCTTGGCTGAACATGTTGGGCCGGATCCTGCGTTGGTGTAAACCAGTGCCGTGCCATTGAAGTGGACAGGGCTGTGTGTATTTACCTCACCTGCAGAGCCGGCCCGTTCGCCCTCATCGGGCGGTTGTCACTGTACCTTTGCAGGCTGTATCCGTTCTCTGAGGTGGAGAATAGCAGGACAGGGGGGAATAAGGAGAATCGCTTGGGAATCCAGGACCACACGATGCGCATCTCCTGAGCAGTCACGATGGTGGAGCTGAATTTCAGCATGTCTACTGCCAGGTGGAACAGCTGCCTGTGGGAGGGAGGGAAGATGTCAGAGAGGCAGAGCCACCTTCATTGCCAGAGCCTCACGCCCACGGCGCAGCGGAAAAACGCCAGACGCGCACTGATTGCGTTGCAACCTCGTCCCCTGCGCTGCAGCTTTTCTCGTGGCTTTTCAGCTGGAAACACCCTCTTCTGAATGCCTTGTGAAATGAGGTTTACAGGACAAAGGCTTCCCTTGTCGACCGATCCATGTCTAGACTGCCGCCCTGTGCCGGATCAGCTGATTGTCGGCACAGCATGGCGGCCATTTTTATTTTAATGAAGTGTGGATTATTTAAATCCCTGCTTCATTGACTATGTCGGGTAAACTAGTTTACATGGCTCCGTCGACGGAGCCATTAGTCTAGACGTACCCAAGAAGTGGGCTGTTCTCACGAAAGCTCGTGATCCCATCGACATGTTTTGTCTATAAAGTGCTACCAGAGCGTTTGTTGTTTTTTAAGGTTATCCTGTACAGACTAACTCGGTGACCCCCTGAAGCTTCTAAGCATTTCAAAGCCACCTTTCCCCAGAGCACCTGTCTGGAGTTGGCAGGAGCAGTGGGGAATGCCACATGGCTACGCTGGCGAATGACTCAGTCTTACCTGCGCTGAACCACCGTTATGCCTTTCTCCGCCAGCGCTTTCCTGTTGGCCATCTGAAGAAGCCAGATTTCCTTGTGGGAGAACAGCCGAATCCCAAAGGCTCTCTCCAGGAGCTTGTCAGCCGCCATATGCTTCTTCACATTCTGCACGAAAGCCTTCAGCTCACCCTGGACGTTGGTCGCTTCCAGCTCTCCGGAGGTCACCAAGAGCCTGTACTGCATCAGCAAGGCCAGAGCGATACGGTAGAGGACTTTCTGACCCTCCAGCAGGAACACGTCGAGGACGCGGATAGCGTAGTCAAATGGAAGGTCACCGAAGATCCACCCCAGCCACTCGGAATAGACCTCAAAGACATTTTCACAGGTGCTGGCGATTAATCTGTGGGCGGCTGGGCAGTGCTTGCTGGCCAGATCCCCAAAAGTCATACAGGAGGCCTGATGGGCCAGGAAGGACTGGTCTATGTAGCTGGTGTGAGCCTCATTGCAAGCGATGAGGCGCGAGACATTCTCAAAGCACTGAGCTTCATCTTCGCTGTAGTGCAGCAGCAGAGCCACGGCAGCCGGGAGAACTGGGCCGTAGGTGATGTCAGGGAAGAGGTTGCCAAGGCAGATGAGGATTTTCTTCACGGCGGTTACGCCTTCCATGGTCAGGCAATACGTGGGCAGCGTGCCCTCGCCGAGGAATTCGGGCAAGGGGTGGGAGCTCACGCTCTGCTTTCCAAACAGCCTGCTTGCTACGTCCCTGTAGACCAGAGCATCGGGGGTCACCAGCCGGCAGGGGATGCGCTGGATGATCTGGTGGTACGCCCGAGCTCTTAGCGCGTGGTCCGTAGCCCAGTGACCTGCTCTTGCCAGCTTTTTCAGCTCTTTGCTGGTGTGGGGGAGGCTCTGGCTGTGAGTGCTTGGCTGCCGATCCAACTCCGGCATCTTATCCCAGTCCACAAACTGGCCACAGCCCACGCAAGAGGATGCATCGATGTCCCAAGTCTCAGCATCGGAGATGATCAGCACCGGGATTTGAAGGGAATCAGCTGGCTCTGCAGGACAAAGGCGGGGCAGTGAGGCAATAACTGTTATGGGAGCAGCATCTCTTGCTGAGAGACACCCACAGATGTCCCACACCGAGCTCTTCTGGGGAACAGGCCGTTCAACACAAGGCAGGCCCTTCCACGGGGGAGGGGGGATGTGAAGGATGTGAAAGCACCCACATGGCCCCCCAAATACGCATGGCCAGCTGGCCAGGGGAAGGCAGGAGCAGCACCCTGCCCAGGCTTCCCCCCAACATGCCCCGGCTGGCCAGGGGAAGGCTGGGGCTGATTTCCTCGCTTACTTGGGGGGCCACGGGGGGAGGCGGGCTGGTGCAGCCACACCCTTGCAGTCCACATTTACAAAACAAGCAGCCCTCCCCCCCCAGAAATTCCTGCCTGCCAGAGTGCTGAATGCTGCCTGAGAGCTGCCGCTAAGGCTGGGGTCACCCTATTCATGTATGAACAGCAAAACCATGTCCCTGCCCAAACAGGAAGTGCTTGTATTAGCTTTGGAGAACTAAGGACTCCTCATCATCTTCACCTTCGCACAGACATCTTTGAAAAAGTGGAAGTCAAATGCTAGTAAGGAAAATAGAAAGGAGCATAAATTTTGTCAAATTGTGTAAAAATCATATATATAGTAGCCTAGTGTCTGTGCATCTGTAACGCTGAAATGCTGGCTGTTCCCTCTGGGCGGCGCTGTTGCTGAAATGCTGGCTGTTCCCTCTGGGCGGCGCTGTTGCTGAAATGCTGGCTGTTCCCTCTGGGCGGCGCTGTTGCTGAAATGCTGGCTGTTCCCTCTGGGCGGCGCTGTTGCTGAAATGCTGGCTGTTCCCTCTGGGCGGCGCTGTTGCTGAAATGCTGGCTGTTCCCTCTGGGCGGCGCTGTTGCTGAAATGCTGGCTGTTCCCTCTGGGCGGCGCTGTTGCTGAAATGCTGGCTGTTCCCTCTGGGCGGCGCTGTTGCTGAAATGCTGGCTGTTCCCTCTGGGCGGCGCTGTTGCTGAAATGCTGGCTGTTCCCTCTGGGCGGCGCTGTTGCTGAAATGCTGGCTGTTCCCTCTGGGCGGCGCTGTTGCTGAAATGCTGGCTGTTCCCTCTGGGCGGCGCTGTTGCTGAAATGCTGGCTGTTCCCTCTGGGCGGCGCTGTTGCTGAAATGCTGGCTGTTCCCTCTGGGCGGCGCTGTTGCTGAAATGCTGGCTGTTCCCTCTGGGCGGCGCTGTTGCTGAAATGCTGGCTGTTCCCTCTGGGCGGCGCTGTTGCTGAAATGCTGGCTGTTCCCTCTGGGCGGCGCTGTTGCTGAAATGCTGGCTGTTCCCTCTGGGCGACGCTGTTAC